GGTGTGGGAGGTGTGTTGCGTTGCCATTCTTTTGAATGGTACCCTAAAACGCACCTCCCACCCCCAGTTCGTACACCCGCACCAGAACACATGGTACCCTAATGCTGTGCATTCCATTGCAGTGCGACTTGGGTCGTGACTTAACGACCAAGGACAAATGTGGGTCCTGAGGTTACAGAGGCTGAGAACCACAGGTTTAGACCATTAATCTGTAACTGTATTTCCGAAGACAAGCAAGTAAATGTACAAAATCCAAAAAACACGAACAAAAAAAAAAATATAAATAACACATCCTATCTATCTATATATAGATATATATCAGTGTATATATAGTGTGTGTGTTTCGTGATAGGTAACGGATACAAGACCAAAAAAAAAACTTGCTCTGAGATTCAACCTTTAAACAAAAGCACATTCAGCACAGCAATTCCCAGAACAATATTGAGACTGAAAACATGTCTGCTCCAATTATTATTATAAAGTGCCAGCAGATTCCGCTCTGCTCTTCCTGATAAATTGCACCAGCAGACCTGTACTAACTGGTGTTCAGTAAGAGACAACCAGGTAATGAGCAACCGGCTCAGATGTTACTGCCTCTCCACCTGCAAGATGCATACTCTGAGCAAAATAGATTTATACCGGGAAAGGGATAGTCACGTTTTGGGCTCATCCTTAAACAATTAACTTTGATATTGTAGCTCGAGACCACAGCTAAAACAATGCAGAAATAGATTGTATCACTTAAATCAGGCTACTGTAGACAATGAATTATATGAACAGTTTTGGGCACCTAACAAAACCTGGCTACAAGCGTCTGGACATTAATGTGAAGTTGGGCCACCATAAAAGCTATAAGACTCCACTCTTGTAAAGGCTTTCCATAACATTTTGGATTATGTCTGGGAATTTATGAGATCAGGTAGTGATGTTGGATGAGAAGTTCTGGCTCATAATTGTTCCAGTTCATCTCAAAAGTGTTTAATAGGGATGAGTTCCTCCATACCAAACTTGGAGCTGGATATGTGCGCAGACACATTAATGCTGGAACAAAAATAGGCCTTTGCCAAATTTGTGAGGTTGGACAAGAAGACCTGGCTCGCAATTGGTGCCTCAGCTCATGCCAAAGGTGTTCAGTAGAGATAAGTTCCTCCACACCAAACTTGTAGCTGGCTTTGTACACAAGGACACAGTTATGCTGGGACAGAAATAGGACTTGCCCGAACTTGCCCAAGCTACAAGACTGAAAACATGGGACACCTAAGAGGCCAGACAGGCAATATACTTCCATGATGTCCTCCTGCCTCATGTTTAGACTGTCTCCTTAGCATACTTAAAAGGCACCCCTTGACATTCGACCTGTCCCTCATTAATAAAGTAGACTCCGATTACTGACATATCTGCAACTGATGGTTCTAGCAATGTTAATGGACACATTTATTCATACTCCGTGCAGTGTTGACTTGTTTTTCTTTGATATGTTCTGTTAATAAGATGTTAACTGTATGTCTGCATTTATAATCGTGGCTATAAACAAGGATCAGTCATGTACACCTGATATGCTATTTCATATATGTTTGAACGATCTGACTTTATGTATCAGGCCGTGTGATTAACATGTACTTCCAGCAATGCGGGATTGTATCCCCCTATACCTTTGTAATCACTCTTGATGTACATCCCTTGTAAATCCAATAAAAACAACATGCTTAAAATAAAATTAAAAAAAGACTGAAAACATACAGTTGTTTAAGTCTTTATAAGTTGCAGCATTAACAGTTCCCTTCACTGTAACACCTGAACTTCTGAGGTGTGTCCACATACATTTATCGCCATGGTGTATATTATGTCCGACTATAGCAGAAAGCAGCACAGTATACAGCAAAGCATTGCTTCACATGGGAGTGCATTTGTATTGCATTGTAACACTAATCCCAACAGTTACACCAGAATTGTGTTACTTTAACCTTTGTCTTAAGATCAATGATGCCTAGAGGCCCAGGCCAAATGTGGCAGTGTCAGCATGCATCTGGTAACAATTCTATCCCCCCCCCCCCCCCCCCCCCCCCCCCCCTCCTACACAGATA